CCACCATCCATCCATCCACCCATCCATCAGCCATCCATCCATCCATCCACCCACCCATCTATCCACTCACCCACCCACCCATCCATCCCTCCATCCATCCATCCACCCACCCACCCATCCACCCATCCATTCTCTACCATCTATGTATCTATTATCCAGCCGTCATCCATCATCTACCATGTGGATCTGTATTATCTGTCATCTATCAAGATGCTGAACCATTTGAGAGTAAGTTGCAGACATCACGCCCCTCTGCCCCTAAATACTTCCAAGAACAAGGCATCCTCTTTGTCACTGAACAACATCAGGACATTGACATGGATGCAGCACTATTTCCTAATAAGCCTTATTCAAAGTTCACCCATTCATCCCACAATGCCTTTCATAGCAATACCAGGAACACGCCTGACTCAGGAACATGCATTATACTTAGTTGTCGTGTCTCCTTAGTATCTAATCTGGAACATTCTTCACCCTTGCTTTGTCACTCATGACCTTGAAATATTTGTAGAGTCCTGTGATTTTATGACTGTTCCTGAATTTGGGTTTGGTTGAGGTTTCTGCAGGATTTCCTCAGGGTGGGGGCTCTGTTGGCAGAAAAGCCCCAGAAGCCTTATGTCTTCTCAGGTGCCTCCTTCAGGAGAGGAGGGCTTATAGGTGGGTGGGGGTCTGGCTTGTCTCTGGGCCCCTGCTCTAAGTGAGGGAGACTGCAGGGAGGAAAGAACCTGCAGGCCTGCCAGACTCCCCTTGGGCCTGGAAATTTCCAGGGAAGCATGACTTCACAGTGTTGTCGGGGGCTGCAGACCCACGCCGTGGCACTCACCTCCGGGATCCCACTTAACCCAAGCCCCAGTTTTCTCTTCGAAATGGGACAGTGGCAGTACTGGCAAAATGGAGGACCCAGGAGGAGTCAGTGGGGTGGTGTCTCTTGGCCCACATAGGGCCCTGCTTGGGGCTGAGAGCCCTTGGGTCACAATCGGGATTAGGGCCTCGGTGGGCTGAAGCCGTGATGTCCGTAGTCAGGGCTGGGGTGGAGAGGCCTGGAGCTGGCCTTTCATCCTTGAACTTCACTGGTTTCTGGAGGCCCCATCTGGTTGTCTGTGGAGTAGAATGGGCCCAGGGTTTGGAGTGGTGCTGTGGGACTCCTCAGGCCCAGCTCTGTGATGGAGTGTGGGGGTGAGGGGCAGGGCTTGAGTGAGGTGGGGCGTGGGGCGTGGGGCGTGGGGCTGGGGTGGTTATGCCTCTCAGCTTGTGCTTCGTGGTGGGGGATGTGAGATGTCTCGTCCCTGCTCTCTGTGGCCCCACGTACCCCGAGACCTGCTAAGCACCCGTTCCATGGACAAAGAGTGGCTGGTGGCATAGGCTGTCCAAGGACCAAAGTGTTAACTGACTGGCTCCAGGGGTCCTTCCCGACCCTGAACCGCAGCTGCGCTTCATGGAGCATAGACGGCCTGCCCACCCCACCTTGTTGGCTCGGGGCAAAGGCCGCAGTGCGGGCTCCCCCGTTTTTAGAACAGAAGCCCCATGAACCTCAATGATGCAGACACGCGGGGGCCTGTGTTGCCCTGGGTAGTCCTTGTCCTGTGGCTGCCCAGCTGGAGGATGCTCCCTGGCGTCTTGTGGAGACATCTCTTTCCACCCTCTGCAGCTGTGCTCCGTGTGGCTGGGGGTCCCAGGGGCCGTGGGTTGCTGGAGGGGCTGCATCTTCCTGGCCTCTTCACAGGCCCTGCTGGAGTGGGTGGGTACTTAGAGGTGTCACTTCACACAGGTAAACTTGTCCCAACTGTCCCACGGTTCAGATGGGGGATGGAGCTCTGCAGGGAGAGACCAAGTGCCCCAGGTCCTGGGACAGGGCTGGGGTGGAGGTGGGACGGGTCCCTCAGTCCTCTCCTGGATTTGATGGGACAGGGCCAGCTAGTGTCTTCACTCTCGCCCTGCTGCCTCCCCATCTGTCATCGCGCAGGCGTGGGGAGGTATCTTGGCCTTGGTTGCCTCATCTGTGACATAGAACCGTTATGGGGAGCCCCAGAGCCCACTACCTGCGTCCGTCCCCGCCCTGCCCGTGACCTGCGGGGGCGGCGTCCTTGTCCCACCGCCTGTCTTTGTCTTTGGCCTTGCAGCCGAGGGCCCGCAGGAGCCTGCGCCAACGCTTTGGAACGAGCCCGCCGAGCTGCCTTCGGGAGAAGGACCCTTAGAGAGCACGAGCCCCGCCAGGGAGCCCGCGGCCACCGGCGCTCCGGCCGCCACCGGCGCTCCAGGCCCGGAGGACAGCACCTCGAGGGACCGGCTGGACCAGGGAAGCGGTAGGTGGGAGCTGAGGGGTGGGGATAGGGCTGGACCCGGAGAGGGAGGAAGGCCGGGGCAGCACGTGGAGGGGGCGGGGCCGGCAGATTCCCCCTCCCTGGGGGGGCGGGGCCGGGAAGTAAAGGATGGTGGCGGAGCCTGCGGGGCTCGGGCGGGGCCGGGGCAGCATGTGGAGGGGGCGGAGCCTGCGGGGCCCTGCAGGGGCGGGGCCCTGCAGGGGCGGGGCCCTGCAGGGGCGGGGCCCTGCAGGGGCGGGGCCCTGCAGGGGCGGGGCCCTGCAGGGGCGGGGCCCTGCAGGGGCGGGGCCTGGGCAGCCTGTAGTGGGGACGGGACTGGGATCCCCACCCCAGGAGGGGCGGGACCTGGAAGCATGTGGTGGAGGCGGAGCCTGTGGGACCCGGGAGGGGCGGGGCCAGGGCAGCCCATGGAGGGGGCGGGACCGGCGGATTCCCCCCGCCAGGAGGGGCGGGGCCGGGAAGTTTGTGGTGAGTGCGGGGCGGCGGACCCCCGGGAGGGGAGGGGCGGGGCCGGGGCAGTACGTGATGGGAGCGGGACTGGCGGGGTGGTGCAGCTGTGACCGGTCCTCTGTCCTCCAGGCGCCCTGGGGCCCGGCGCCATTGCCGCAATCGTCATCGCTGCTCTGCTGGCCACCTGCGTGGTGCTGGCTCTCGTGGTCGTCGCGCTGAGGAAGTTTTCCGCCTCCTGAAGCCAATAAAGGGGCCGCGCTCTGCCGCGCGCGACTCGCTACCCCCTCTGTGCGTCCGTGTCTGCGCGTGTGTCCCCGCGCCCGTTGCGAGCGCGCGTGCGACGGAGTGTGCGAGCGTGTGAGCGCAGCCTTCCTCAGCGCGGGACGGCACGCAGGGCGCCGCGTGTAGTGCGCACGCGCTGGGGCGCGGGCGGGCAGGCGTGAGCGGAGAGTACCAGTGTGTCCACGTGCGCCTAGGCGCACGGGAACGCGCAGAGTGTGAGTGCGCGTGCTCGGCTGCGGCGTGCAGGGCCGCGTCCTTAGGGGCCAGAGGCTCCTTCCCGGCCCTCTTGCCTCCTCAGCGAGTGAGGCTGTCCTACCTGGCTCCATCCCCAGGCCCTGCCACCGCCTCGCCCATGCCTGCCCGGGCCCGGTGGAGAGAAGCGGCACCCCGGGGCCAGGAGAGGTGGAATGGAGCCCTGGGCCAGGCTGGACGATGGAGGGCGGCCGGCCCAACCTGTTGTTGTTTGCCATCCAGTGCAACCGACTCACAGCTACCCCTCCTTAAGCTTTCAAGGCGGTATCACTATGGAAGTAGATTGCCCAACCTTCCTTCGGAGGAGTGGTTGGTGGCTTTGAACCGCCAGCCTTCTGGTTAGCAGTCAAGTGCCCTAGGCACGACTACCAGAGCCAGAGCACCGATTATTTTGGGGGATGAGGGTCCCACCTGCAGGGATGGCTTAGCCCGCACGGAGTCCTAGGAGCAGGCCCTCTGGTCCCTATCCCAAGCCAGCCTGGGGTGGAGCTGCACTTTACAGGGGCTTTGCCTGATCACGGAAGAGGGGCGGCTCCACGGGGATGAAGCTTGGTTTAGGGAAAGAAAACAAAATGCCTTTTCAAGATCAGCCCTCCTGGCTTCCACCTTGCAGGTGGCCACAGTTGAGGCAGGAAGAGAATGAGAGTTCCTAGTTCCTACTCCTCCTGACCTTAGACTGCCTTGGGCTTTATCAGTTGTCACCACGCTGTTTCCACCTTTCCCAGAAAGTGCTACTTTAAGAGGGAAAAAGAAATTCAATGTAGTGGGCTGAGCTCTGGTGCAGCAGGAAGGGGTCTGGAAGGGACTGCTGCAAACCCTGACCTTCAAGGGTGGTGATGACTCATTCTGAGGCCCCAAAGACCCTGTTAGTGGAGGTGCTCGTGGAGGAGGGGCCTCCTCCTTTCTCTCTCCTGGTAACCTGTTTGGCCTGTGGTTTCCAGAGCCCCTTACAGCACCTTTTGTACCAGTCACGCCCCCACCTCCCCCTCTTCATCCAGCACCTGTAGGTCCCCCCCCCCACAGGTTGTGTATGAGACACACAACCTCATTGCCTCAAGCGCTTCCAGCTCCCCACACAAGCAGCTCCCCAGAATATACCCTGGGTGAAAAGTCCCTGCTTACAGAGGACTGTTACAAACCGACATATTAACGAGGCTGTTGGCATTATTTCCTCTCACGGAACCTCAAGGAGCCAACGTCCTCGGAGCAGGTGATCTAAGTCAATACTGCATCTCCCAACTGCAGAACAGAAGGCCGGGGGCAAGCGCTGGGACCAATGCCACCCCTATCCCAACAGCCCGGAGCATCAGGAGTCTCAGAAGTGCCTCCCCCTTCTGACTTTAGGGGGCTCAGAGGTGTGGGTACCCCCTGGAGGTGCAGCACAGAAGCCACCCCGGGCATCAGCCTGTCTTTTGGGGACCAGGGGCCCTCACCCCCATTTTGGGCCAGTGTTGCAGTGCATGTGCCCTGCCAGGGGCCGTCCCATTCTCAGAGGGTCTGAGGAGCCAAGGATTTGGCCTGTGGGGCGATTCACAAAGCCCCACGTGATCTAGTTGCAGCTCCTGACCCCAGGCCTGCCCTGGGGTGGAGGAAGCAGTGTCCTCAGATGGCCTGGGTGCAGGGGGACAAAGATGCAGTCAGACCCGGGTCACTCAGCCATGGGGGACAAACACCCAGGGGCTATGGGCCCCCTGTACTGGGAGGGCCTGCAGCATCTAGGTAACTGGCCACCACTGATGGCAGGAAGAATGTCCCGAGGATAACACCTGGCCAGGTAGGACATCCAGTCCCACCCATGGTGGTTAGATCCCTGTGGGATCAGCACCTACCCAGCACCCACTCCCTTCGTGTTCTTCCAGCCTCTGTGTCCTCACTCCCACCGCAGAAGGATGCTGTTGATTTCAATAGCTCCTTTAGTTTCTGGAGTCCTTCCATATGTTAAAAACTCCACTCCCACCTCATCCATCCATCCATCCATCCATCCATCTGTCCCAACTCCATCTATCATCCATCCATCCATCCATCCATAGTCCATCCGTCCCAACTCTATCTATCCATCATCCATCCATCTATCCATAGTCCATCCGTCCCAACTCCATCTGTCCATCATCCATCCATCCATCCATCCCCCATCTGGAGGCCCAGACCTGGCTGCTGTCTCTTTTCCTAGAAGCCCTTCACGTCTCCCTTTTGGGACATGCCTCCTCCACTGACCTTGAAGGGCCCTCCTCTCTCCCTGCCCAGAACCCAACACCTCATTCCTGTATGTGTCAGGATAATAAAGAGCAGAACTTCACCTCCTTTATTTATACATGATGCTTCTTTTAATGCAGCCAAAACTGAGATATGCTTCTCTCATAACCATAACCGATACAGGGTGCAGTGACCAATTCACTCCTTAAAATGCCTGGGCTCCTAAAGGGGCCAGAAGAAACATGGGACATCTGGCTGAGCAGCCTGAGGCTGGGGAGGGACGGACAGAAGTGGCTGGTCTCAGTCCTGTGCACTGCAGGCCAACGGCTGCTCACCAAGCTGCACCAGGCAAAGGCAGTCCATCCGCATGCCTGGACGATTCTGTCTGCTTTTGGGGCGAAGAGGGACATGTGCAAGGGATCATGACAGTCGTCACCTTCTGCCTGCCCTCGACCAGGAGGGCCCCTTGAGCATGCCAGTCCCCCTCCAGACCCTCTAAGGGACAGAGAGGTGTAACACCGCTTAAAATACACATTCTCGTTTATAACGCATCCGGGGGGTCAGTGCCCTGTCTGCAGTTGTCAGTGGGTCCAAGATGCAAGCACTCACCATGCAGGCAGGATGAGGGCCCCCTCCCTCCTCGGCACCCGACCCGCCGTTTTCCCCTGAGCCCTGCCACCGCCTCTGGTTTGCCCTCCAGCCTGCGCCGCCTGTCCACCCCCCGCCAGGCCGGTCGCCAGGGCCCAGGGTCATTGCCGATTCCTGCTCCCTAGCTTCCTGCGGTCCTTGTTCTGGCTGCGTTGAGGGTCGTCCATCTTGTGGACACGGAAACACTCCTTAAGGTTCTGTGACCGGATCTTGGGGTTCAAGATCTCTTCAGTCATGGAGCTCGGGAACCAGCCTCTCTCCTGGTCGTGCAGCCGCTCTCCGAAGATCCACCCTGCGGGGGTTGGGGGTGTCAGGACCTCCTGTGGGCGGCGTGAGGGCCAGCGTTCCCATCCATCCTGGGAGCAGAGGCGGCACAGACGGCAGAGCCCAGCCAGCCTTTCCCAAAGGGCATCTGCTCCATGAACCCCTGCTGATCCCCTCAAATTGGGTTTGTCCTGCAGAAAGTGAGGGGGGGGGTGCCACCCCCAACACCCTGCCAGGAGACACGATGAACAAGTGCCCAGGAGAGACAGATGGTGAGGAGGGCAGCCATGACGAGGCCAGCCTCACGGTGTTTCCCAAACCTACTGACTTTGGAATCCATTCCTGAGCTTCCCACAAAGCCTTCCACCCAAGGGCCGCCCACACGAGCCAGAGGCAGCCAGGGACCAGTGGGGGTGGGAGATGGCCACGTGGCTGTGTGGCCTGCGGTGCCGTCATCCTCATCGTGGCAGGCCCTCCCTAAGTCTCCCCTTCCTGAGGGCCAGGTGGTCAGCTCTGAGCACCAGGCTTGGTGGCCCAGGCTCACCCAGGAACTTGTTGCAAATACGAGGCTTAGGGTCAGGGTCAGGGTGCCAGAGCATCATTCCTGGTGGTCTTTCCCCCAGGTCTGTAGGACAGACGTGACCCAGAGCTGCTGCCTGGGTGGGCCCAGTCCTGAGGGGAAGGTGGGACCTGGTGGCCTGTGTGAGGTCCAGCCCGGCCCTGCTCTGAAAAAAGGTTCAAGGAGACTAGGATGGGGGTGTCAGGCCTGAGGGCAGAGCTGAGAGCCGGCCACCGGTCAGCTGGACTCAGGCAGCCCCCGAACACGCCTGTGCTTCCGCGCAGGCTTAGCCCGCCCCCCCCCTCGTCGCTCCGGCCGGCGGCTAAGTGCAGGGTCCCCGGGGACGCCAGGCCTCACCGTCCTCCGTCTTGTCCAGGATGTTCAGGATGTCGGCAAGCTCCAGCGTCACTTCATCCGGCTGCTGGGCCACATACGGGTGCACACACTGCACCTGGGGGCAGTCTGGCAGGGCCGAGGGGGAGGGCGGGGACACAGGCTTGTCAGGCTGCTACCCGCCCTGCCCTTATCTGCCAGACCTGCAGTTAATGTGGACGGCGCTGCCAGCAGGGGGGCAGCCGTGGCCAGCCCAAAACTGCAGCAGAGGCTGCCACAGTGACCCAAACAGGCTTGGCCTGAGGGAGAGGAGAGTCTGGTCCCAAGGGAAACGCTACAGAAATAGCCAGGCACTCTGGGAAAACATCCAGGCCGAGAGATGGGCACCCTGCAAGGAGCTCTTTTCTGGACTTGAACCTGGGACGTGGTGGGGAGGTGGTGTGGGCTGGTCAGACAAGGTGTGCGTGGCCCGGGTCAGCGCTGTCTGGACCCTTGTGGATCACGAGCTTTTCAGGCAAAGGGCAATGCAGGGGGACACTGGGCTTTGCCTTCTGGGCCTGTTGTGGAAGACCTAGTGCCTTTCGTCTCATCCACCATCCACACACCAGAGCCCAGGCCACCGCTGCGCCCCCCAGCGTGGGTTGCCTGGAGGCCTGTGTGGTGACTTTTGGCCCGAAGCCCGCCCGCCCTTCCTTTAGCAGAGCCTCAGGGGGCAAAGCCTGCCCCTGCCTGGTGAGTCAGCGCCCCGCCCGAGCCCCCGCCCCAGGGGGCAGCTTACCCAGCAACCGGGACGTGAGGGAGACAAACTTGGTCCTCCGGTTGGGGGCCAGGGAGGTCATCCAGCGCTTCATCTCACTCCTGCGACAGGAAGGAGGCTGTGCCCCAGCCGCAGAGCTGTGGCCCCAAGGCTCCCCGGCGCCCGCCCCAGTCCCCTCCCACGCGTGGAAGCACTGCTCCATAGGACACTGAGGACACTCAGAGGGCGGCAGAGTCAGGCTGCCGAGGGTTAACGGGACACAGAAACAATCAGAGTGGTCCAGGGGCCCCACACGGTCTCCCAAGCAGCACTTGCTAAGTGACAGCCAAGGAGGGCATTTCCTCCTTCCCCCGTGTGGTGCCCACAGCTGCCCCGCAAAGAGGATGCTCGGCCCCTCAGATGGGGCAGGGCTGACAGGCTCATGTCACCTCCACCCCACTGGGATGGGAGCCCAAGGCCATGGCAGAGGAGGGTTCTGGGTGAGCAAGCAGGCAGTGAAGTGAGTGCAGGAGGGGAGGAGGGAAGGCGAGGGGGCCAGTCCCTGCTCCTGGGTGGGGGCCGTGGTGACCTGGGGCACTCTCAATGTGCTATGGTTTCAAGTGTTTCTCCTGGTCATAATTGTTGTCCCTATGAGGGCCCTGGGGCCGTAGGTGAAGTGATGGCCCGAGGTTGCGTGGTAATGAGGAGAGGCCACGAGGGGTGCATGGAGGTCTGTGAATCTGAAGTCTGAAGGGAACACACGTACATATGCATGCACACACATGCACACACACAAGCAGGTGCATACTTGCTGTGCACGCATACCTGTGCACATGTGCACATACATGTACTGCACACACTCACAGCAAAACAGCACACTCAAGAGCACACTCACTATGCATGTGTTCACACACATGCACGTGCAAAACACATGCAGATGCACACTCGCTATGCACTCAGGTGCACCCGCTCATGTGCACGTGTACACACGCACACACCCTCACGCCCCCAACCTGCACACACAGCCCTGATAGAAACCCCCCTTCCCCCAACCCTGCAGGGTCTGGGCTGGGCAGGATGGCGTGCCAGGTTTGGGCAGAGCCTCATTCTGCCCCAGCCTGTGGGCAGCAAGCCCTCACGGAGAGATGACTCGGGACCCCGGCGTCCCCAGCACTTACTGAGAGGAGGCCTTCAGCATGTAGGTGGCCTCCCGGTCGTCAGCGTTCTCCAGCAGTCGCAGGATGAACACATTGGCCAGTGTCTGGCCCTGGTCCTCGAGCTCCTCCACGCGGAGCAGGCCCCGTGGGGCCGAGTCAAACACCTGGTACTTGTCTCTGGAACCAACGTGGTGCAGCAGGCATGTCAGTCCCAAGGCAGTCCAGGGACGTCTCAGGACCCCTAGCCGGCCAGCTGCTTACCCTTTCTAGAAGCCCCTGACCTGAGCACCTGTCTCCCTCACCTGTGGAACAGGTCCCAGCCCGTGGGGCGGATGGCTAGCAGGGTCCGAAGGCCATAGCCACTCTGCTGAGCACTGCCTGTGAGTCAGACACAGGGCTGGGCACTAGGTGTTGGACGGGAAGTTCCCTCTTCACAGAAGGGCACCTGCCCAACGCTTGGTGTCAACAGAGCAGACTAGAAACCCCACCCAGAGCCTAAGCTCTCTGCCTCCTGGGCCGAGTTAACCAGACCTGGCTGGGAACGTGAGCTGCTGAGTGCCACAGGGAGGGAGGCGTGCAGGGAAGGAGACAGCCCCCAGGCCTCCGAGCCCCGCTCGGCCACTCACCCGGGAATCTGGCGGCAGATGACCAGCAGGTCGTTGAAGAGGAAGAGGTAAATCTCCCGGAAGAGCTTCTTGGTCCGCAGGGTCCGGGAGGTCTTGGGGCCCGCCATCTGCTGCAGCTCGCCCTGCTTCAGCAGCCAGCGCGAGTGTGAGATGATGGGCACTGACTGTGGGCGGGGCAGGCTGTCAGCATGGCCTGCAGCCCCACTGAGTCTCCCCAGAGACCCCTCCAGGCCCAGGACCCATGGGTACTGGGGGGTCGGTCCAGGGCAGACGCAGGGCCTATGGGTACTGGAGGCAGGCAGTCCCGGGCAGACACAGGAAACTGGTGTATATGTGTGCATGTGTGAACAGCTGTCTATGTATGAGCTTGTATGTGAACGCATCAGTGCATGTTGTGTCTGCATGTGTTGCGTGTGTGTGCTTCTGTGTATGAGTGTGTGCATGTCTGTGTAAATGTGTCTGTTTATATATCCTCGTGTGTGTTTCTATGCATGTGTGTGTGAGTGTGTACTTGTCTGTGCGTGTTTGTGTATGTGTTGACCTCTGTGTGTGTACATTGTGTGTATGTACCTGGGGGGGCTGGCCCTCTGTTGTCACCCCCACCCCTCCCCCCCACAAGTTCACAGGGGAGAGGACACAGTGACTTAAAGTTGAGGTCAGGCCTGCTCTGGACTGCTGCTTGTCTGTACTCTTGGCCCTCGGTGATCCGTTCATGGGGAGGCGGGGGTGGAAGGCTGGGGCTGTGCCCAGCCGGAGTCTCAGGGAACTGCGTGCGGTAAGGCTCTCTGACTGCTGTGCCAAGCCACCAGGGGCCAGGCCCTAGAGGACCTCGGCAGCTCGCTGATGCCTCACATTTCTGGTTATGTTTAGGAGAGGAGGTCCTAACTTGTGGCAAGTTTTCAGAGGGGCCTGTGATCCTATCAATCTAAGAACCCCTGGAGTAGTCACTGCCACGGCTCGGAAGAGAAAAGGCTGGAGAGATGGGGTGCGGCAGCGGGAAGGCCTGGGGAGAACCCTCGGCACGGGTAACACTGAGCCGAGCCTGCAGGGGCGTCCGTGCTTCGAGCTGGGCTGTCGGAGCCGCCCTGGGCTTGCCTGTGCCCAGGCACAGAGCGGCGCTGACGCACCTTGATCTTGAACTCCATCTTCTTCTGGATACTGATCATCTGCTCCGTGCGGCTCATCTTCCTGACACCCTCGTTGCACGCCTTCACCACCTGGGATGACAAGCGGGGCCTGTCAGGCCACCACGGCCAGCGTCCTCGGCGCCACGCCGGCTCTGTTGGGCCGGGGCTCTACCTTCTAGCACCTTCTGGGGCAAAGGCACGTGGGAAAAGCTGCAGGCTGTTAGTTGTGACTGTCAGTGGTGATGCAGGAAGTCAGAGCCTGGCAGAAAGATGCCTGAGCCCTCTGGTAACCCAGGAGACGCAAAGGGAGGCAGTAAGGTCTCTCAGGTTGGACAGGCTGACGGTGCTCCTGCGGGCTGGCCGGTGTGCGGGGAGCAGGCTCTCCCGCCCACTGTGGGAGGAGTTGAGGTTCCCCGGCCTTCCTGGTCATGGCGTGGCACACACAACCGCCAGGAGGCATTTAAGAAACAACCAAACCAAGCCTGTACCTGCGGAGTGGATCCTAACTCACTGCGAGCCTGCAGGGCAGCATGGAGCTATTCCCTAGGGTTTCCAAGGCTGTAATCTTTAAGAAAGACTACCTCACCTTTCTCCCACGGAGCAGCTGGGCAAACACAGGCTTAAACACAAGCAGCTGAGTGCTTAACCGCTGTGCCATCAGGGCTCCTTTGGGAGGAGTAAAGTGCCCAAAGATGTATCTACGAGGATGTTCACTTCGGTGCATTTGGACTTGGGAAAAACGATCCTCAACCTGAGGGTTTAGTTCACTAACAATGTTCCCACGTAACTGAGGAGGAAACCTTCAAAAATGCAGCAACTTTTCACGCACTGAAAGGGAGCAGGAAGCCGGCCTATAAACCACAACCCCTTTCTGCCAAGAACACAGGTAGAGGTGTCACGCCTGTTTAGAAAGTTCTGGAAGGGGAAGCACACCATGTCAGCCGAGGCTTATGGAAACCTTTACGATCTTTGTACTTACCAGCATTTTCTGAAATTTTTTGTATTGAGCTCCAATTACTTTTATAAATTACTCACTGCCGTCAAGTCGATCCGACTCATAGCGACCCCTCCTTGGGTTTCTGAGGCAGTATCTCTATGGAAGTAAATTGCCCAACCTTCCTTCTGAGGAGTGGCTGGTGGGTTTGAACTGCCAGCCTTCTGGTTAGCAGTCAAGTGCCTTAGGCACTACACCACCAGAGCTTATAAATCAGGGGGCGGGGGAGAGACTTTTATTCTTTTTTCAAAAAAACAGAAAACTCTGAGAAACAATGTACTTTTCACTAAAAGGGAAGAAAGGGGGATAAAAGCAGAAAAGAACTTAAAACAGAAAATGTCCGTCTGGCCCAGGGCTGATGGCAGGGGGACATCGCTGGGGCCTGGGGGCTCTCACAGCTGTGGTGGTCTGAGGGCTCACCTTCTGTGGCCCAATGTGCCCGGCTGCCTGGGGCCTGAGTGAGCTCACGTCCCGCCAGGGACAAGTAAGCCCTGGCTTTGGCGGCGGGCAGAGGCCCTGTAAGCTGTCACCACTCACAGGCCACTGACCCACCTGACCGGCCACTCGAGTGGCCCTTGAGGTCCAGCCTGTACCCGGCTGGACATGGGGATGTCCTCCCTGCTGCTCAAAAGGAGGAGCTACCAGAAGGATTTTGGTGCCTGAGACCAGGGACCAGGGACCTGAGGTGGCCCAAGGCGGGGAGATGACTGCACTGAGATGAAGTCAAGGAGCCCTCATGGCACCGTGGGGCTCAGATCGACCGCCTGATGCCCGTGGTGGGCAGTTTCCTTTCACTAAGCTGCTGCTGGGGACAAAGGAGTGGAAAGGACCACAACGCCCACTCCCTCCACTACGTGAACCTGGCAGTGGCCGCCCTGCACAGCCGCCCAGGCCAGGCTCACAGGCCAGCATAGTACACAGGGCCCAAGCACAAGGACAAAACTTGACACGAAGACAGGGCCTGAGTTAACCCAGCACCTGGGGACGGAGCACGGTACTGCTTCTCCGGCATAACCCCCCTCTGCTTGGATGCTCTGGGAAGATCAGTGTCAGCGGTGCTGGCCCCACTCCCGGCAGGGCCTGCCCCAAGACATGGTCGAAGGGGCAGTACCGTGAGCTGCTCACACCTCTGGCTGGAGGGGTCACGGGGGGGGGCGGGGAGATGTGCCGGGAAAGGGGCACGGGGCAGAGAGAAGCGTCAGCAGCTCAGAGAACCAGCACCAGCTTCGACGTACACGGGGCTGGCACGACGCTTCTCATGAGGAGCAACAGGCAGGGACAAGCGTGAGGTCCATTTGGGCTCCAGACACCTGCAGTGACTCTGAAGGCACTGAAGGTGGCTGAAGAGAGAGACCTGGGGCCTTCAGATGGCAACAGAGGCTGCGTGTCACATCACTGGCTGCTGTCCACCTGGGGGCATTAACAGACGGGTGGGGAGGGAGGGAGGGCCAGCTGTTTTCTGCCCCAGTGACTTCTGTATTGCAAAAGCAAATATTAAAACGAATTTGCCCACACTACGTGGATTGGCGCAGTGGCTGCGGCGACAGGCTCCAGCATGGCAAAGGTTGTGGGGAGAGAAGGCTGGGGACCGGGCAGCGCTGTGCTCTGTTGTACACAGTGTCCCTATGAGTCGGAACTGACCTGACAGCATCTAACAGCAACAACAACAACAAGAAGGACGCACTAGCAGGCGGGCAGCAGGATGGGCCGGTGGGTCAACAGGAGGCTGCTTTGTTGCGGCCACAGAACAAGGAAGCACGACTCACCATTTCCAGCTCCTTGTGAGCGTCCAGGGCAGTGCACTCGCGCTCGGACCCTTCCTCCACCCTCTTCAGAATGTTCTGAGCACAGGGAGAGGCGGCATTGGTTTCTGTGCCTTAGGACCGGCTCCCCTCCCCTCGACGATGCGGCCTCCCTGCTGCCCTGGTCCAAACGGCTTCACGCTGCCGTGACAAGCACACGTGAAGAGCCCTAGCCCTGGTGGACGGAGGCAAGAGAGCCCCTGCCAGGCTGTGAATGAAGACCACAAGCAGCGTCTTCCACGCCGACTAACGAGGGCCATCACGTTCTCCACTCTCTCCACCCATGACCTCCCAGGACCACGAAGGTCCAAGCAAGAGTGACAACTGTGTAGTGCAGGGAGGGCAGCGTCCAGCAGGGCGAGACGGTCACTCGCAACCAAGGCCAGCCTTTTCCCAAGGAATGTGGAAGGTTTCTGGTGGGCACAGGACCTCCCCTGCCCTCCACTTTGGCTACTGCCAACTGAAGCCCAGTCACAGTGACCCCAAGGCTCTGTTCACTTCAGTCTTACTGATAAAAATGTCCAGTCCTCACTTCAGAAAAAAATTATGCTCAAAATTGCCATCAGCTAAAAACTGTAATTTCTGCCAGGCTCTTGCCCCCTTTGCATGGTTTCTCCTGGCCCGCGGCCCCGTGCACGCTGTGTCGTCTGCGTCTGTCCAGCAGCGAGGGCTGGCTGTGTCCTCCCTCCTGCTGTTTGGGTGGCAGCCACACTGAAGCGCCCCTCCCACTGAGCACCGCTCAGAGCCCTTCCCACCTGGCTGGACGCCCTGGTGCCTCTCAGGCCTCTCTGAGCTCCCTCTAGACCCTCAGCCCAGCCCCTCCTGCCTGCTGGGTGTTCCTTGGCTGCCGGGTCCCAGGGGCCTGCAGACCATCACCCTGTTGACACCTGTGTCAGGTACGTGCCCAACTCTGCCCAGAAGCCAAGCCAGGACCTGAGAGTCCTTCAGATGCCTCCTCACCCCTTGTGCTCCTCACTCACAGCCAGTTACCTAGTGCTCATCTTCCTGTCAGCCAAGCCGCAGCCTAAGTCACTCATCTTTGCTGACCCCACCTGGCAGTGGTTACTGGCCAGCCTGTCACCCCCCCTCATTCCACTGTCATCATAGCTAGGACCATGATCTCCCCAGAACACGCCTGGCACACAGTTGGAGCTTAATTATTACTTCTTGAATAAACAGACTTCCTAGAAGCCCAATAATTAAAAAAAAAAAAAAAACTCCAGTTGCTGTGGAGTCGATTCTGACTCACAGCACCCCCACATGTGTCAGAAGCAAGCTGGGGTCCGTGGGGCTCTCAGGGGCTGACTGTTCAGAAGTGCATTACCAGGTCTTTCTTCTGAGGCACTTCTGAGTGGACCCCCAGCCTTTGGGTCAGCAGCCAAGTGTTTAACTATCTGCTCCACCAAGGACCCCAGAGGCTGCCAGAGACCTGAGCAACCAGAGGGCGACGGGGAGCAGGAAATCACGGCCCAGCGGGCGGGCGGGGACGAGGGTGGGAGGGGTAGTACCTGCACCAGCAGCTTGAGGCGCGTGATTCTCTGGAAGGGCAGGATGAGGAACGAGGACAGCGGCAGCCCCTTGCACTTGGGGTCCAGCTCCAGCTGTGCGACCAGCTCCCGGAAAGCTGCCTTCTCCTGGCTGCGACAGACACAGACACGGGCGTAGGTCCCCGGCTCGTGGCGGGGATGAGTCGAGGCATCTTCTTCCCTGGAGCCCCCTCCCCGTGGACACCCTCCCAGCTGTCCTCGTAGAAACCGGGCAACCACAGGCCTGGAAAACACATTGGTTTCTTTCTTTTCTTTTTTTTTTTTTCATGGAAAATAAGCTGTTGGTATGTCAGTCCAATCCCAATAGTGGCCTCCCATGGCCGGCACCTGAAGACTTAGGAAGCCGTGTGTGTGGGAGGGCAAGAATTCACTGCGTGTCCAAGTCTATGAATCAGACGCACAATGATATGATTCAACACAGCAGGAAACCATGACAAGGTAAGCCCATGGTGGCAGGAGGAGGCAGGGAGCTGGGGCCAGCTGCCAGGAAAACCGAGGCTGCCTCGAGAGGCGTGGATGGTCCACCCCGGGTGGGCCTCGTAGTGGGTCTACGGTGCCCACCAGGGCGAGAGAAGAACTGTGGGTGGAGCTGAGCCTCCAACCACAAACCCACAGCCATCGAGTCAGTTCTGACTCATAGTGACCCTTTAGGACAGAATAGAACTGCCCCAGAGGGTTTCCAAGGCTGTAAATCTTTATGGAAGCAGACTGCCTCGTCTTTCTCCTGTGCAGTGGGTCATGGGTTCGAAACACAGACCATTTGGTTAGTAGCCAAATGCTTTAACCACTGAAGCACCGGAGATCCGAGCTGAGCCTAGGCCCCCAGAATCACACAACTGGGGTCACGTCCTTCCGCCTTTTTTCAAATCCAGATAATCTGCATGAGACCCAGCACATGCGTGTGTTCTGAGCTCTGCGTGTGCTCAAAAAGCCCACTGCCACTGAGTCAGACCCGACTCATAGTGACCCCACTGGGTTTCCAAGGTAGTATCTCTACAGAAGTAGATTGCCCAACCTTCCTTCCAAGGAGTGGCTGGTGGGTTTGAACCGCCAGCCTTCTGGTTAGCAGTCAAGTGCCTTAGGCACCATGCCACCAGACTTGATGGCAGTGAGCTGCAATGTACAGACTCCTATTTTCCTGGACGCTTGTCTTCTTGGTGTGTGTCCTTGCAGGGTTTACAGTTATCTCGACCCAAAGAATCTGCCTTTTGCCCTCGGGAGGTAACCTCTAAACAAACAAACAAACAAACAACCCAAAAATCCCAAACAGTTTTCCTTGACTCGATGCCGCCTCATGACAGCCCTGTGTGTAACACAGTGGAACGGCTCCACCGGGGTTTCCTGGCCTGCAATCTTTATGGAAGCAGATCACCAGACTTCTGTTCCATGCCACCGATGGGTAGGTTCAAACCAGCAACCTTTAGATTAGCAGCTGCTGATCACACACTGCTTGTACCACCCGCCTTCCTAGGTAACCTCCAGACCCTTGGAATTTCTCCAGGGATTGGGGTCTTTGTTATTTGTGGACAGGTTCCTGACCATACCTATCTGACAAGTTACATTAATGAGGTGACTGTTGGGTGGAGGCTGGCCAGTCCAGAAAGACCCAGCACGTGGCATCAGCTGGACTCCAGGGAAGGGGGCCGGAAGCTGAGTTCAGTCATGTGGCATGAGCCAGTCACCCGTGCCCATGGGGTGAGATCCCATACAAAGCTCTGGGCACTGAGCCCCCAGGAGCTTGCCGATTGGTGGAAGACCCTGCTGCATGGGTGTGGGTGGTGCATCCTTCGGGACATGAGGCTCCACACTGGAGACCCTCCCAGGCCTTGCCCTGTGCGCCTCTTCACTCAGATACCTTTTGCTCTACAGGCAATCCCTGGGTGAGGAATGAGACCCATCCCTACGTGTGTCTTTAAGTCAAGTCTGTAGGTTAAGTTGGAATGGGTGCATACGGTCCTTATCTAGCCTTATCTTAGTGCAAGAAAAGGCGTGAAGCCTTTTCAGTGATTTAAAAACTGCACATGAAGCAAGTGAAAGGATAGTGAGGAAGAGTTTATTGCAAGCAGGGGTTGGAGTAATCATTTCAGAGTGAGAACAAATTTATGTAGCATTAAAGGGCCAGGACCAGTTGTCCCTAAGTTGGCTGTTAATAACCCAGGGACTTACTGTACTAAGCACAGTGCTTTCCTGAATTCTGTGAGTGGAACAGGTCAGAAGTGAGGGGCCCTGGGTGCCCCCATGCTTATGGCTGGTATCCTGAGGGGTTAGTAGGAAGCTCCCAGATTTGCAGCCACCAGGGCGGGAAGTGAGGGTGTTGTGGGGACTCCCAAGCTTGCAGCTGAGGTCTTGTGCCCTTTACCTTGTGACCTGACCTGGCTCCAGGTGTAGCCAGGGTCAGAACCCAATCCGATTGGATGGATTTCTCAGTCTCAAAAACAGCATTCTGATCCTCTCAAATTCCAAGTCTCTAAACAAAAGTAGATCCTCAGTCCCCCCATGTACACTAGCTCAATACCTCCACGATTCGCCACAGTGCTTGGTTCAAGCCCAGTGAAGCCTAATGCTTAGGATGATACCCTCAGGATGTCATTTGATGCTTCTGAGTGGATCCAAGGACATCTTACTGGTTCAAACCCTGTCATTTAAGCACGTCACACAAAGGTGAAGAATTCAGAAGACACAAGGTGACCAGAAGCCATCTCACTGGCAGAAATCCCAGAGTATGGTCAGCGAGTGGGCAGGTCAGCAGTCGGCTGAAGGGAGCGCCAGGCAACCACCCAAAGACTCCTCCCCACTGTCCTTGCCCTTGTTTTTAGTTCGAACTCCCTCTTCCGGTTCCCTGGGCCTTTCAGTGTCCTCCTGTCCTCAGACTCTCTTTTCTACACCTCACAGAGTCTGCATGCAGGTCTGGTCACAGCTGGCAGGGGCTATGGGCTGCTCTCTCAGGCTCAAGTCAGGTTCATGTTTCTCTGATGACCCCAGACCTTCCTGCAGGCGCCACCTACCAGGACCCGCAGGGACATACAAGAGATGCTTGGGCGGGCCTGTGGCTCCCACTGCCTGCTTCTAAACCTTGGGTGCTGGGCCCGCTGCCCCATGAAGACCCCTCTGACAAGACGCACTCACAGCAGCTGCTTGTACGTCCTCTCCTGGTAGGTCTGGTTGCTGACGTAGGTGATGTAGACCGAGAAGTGGTTGGCCGCGTAGTGGTACATGATATCGCACACGTCCGAGATGACAATGTTCTCCTCCATCCGGCGCTCCAGCTCCAAGAGGAACCTGCGGAGGGAGCAGTGTGGGTTACGGGCCCCTGGGTGGCAGGACCTACAGACGGACAGACTAGTGAGTGTAGGGTCCGGGCCTGGCTCTGACCCAGCGAGGGACTCGACATGAGACCATCGGGACTGCTGAGGGGGTGTTAGGTACTGTTCATAGTTTTAGGGGATAACAGCATTTCTTGTGGTTGTTGTCGATTCCAGCTCACGGCGCCCGTCTGTGTGCAGAGGAAACTGCTCCATGGGGTTTTCAGGGCAGACAGGGCATCAGGCCTGCCTTCCGAGGTTTCTCTGGCTGGACTGGAACCGGCAGCCTTTTGGCAGTAGTCCACACCACCCAGGGACCCTCTGCATAACAGCAGTAGGAGTATTAAAAAGAGAGACCTTTGTATCCATAGCAGAAATGACAATGGCACTTCAGACTAGATCCTGGGGTGACGGGAGGGGAGGAGGTGGAACAGGAGGTGGAGGGGAGGAGGATGCTGGTCCCCGTTAAACCTGGTGCCTGGTGTGCCTCACTGGTTCCTTACTTTGGTGTGTTTGTGATTTTCCATAAAACCAAACCCACTGCCACCCAGTCGATTCCGGCTCATAGCAACTCTGTGGGACAGAGTAGAACTGCCCCATAGAGTTGCCACGGCTACAAATCTTTATGGAAGCAGGACTGCCTCATCTTTCTCCCACAAAAATGGCTGATGGGTTTGAACCTCCAACCTTTTGGCTAGCAGCCAACTGCCTTAACCACTGCGCAACCAGAGCGCCCTTCAATTTCCCATGGTGAGATGTCAATAAGTAAATGCACAAAGGATGGCCAGCCCCTGTAGGAGTGTGTCTTCGGCGTTGCCACCGTGGAGGGTGAAGCCGCAGAGCTGGGGTGGGGGCGGTCAGTGCCTGCCGCCCCTCCCCGCCGCCCACTTACCAGGGCTGCAGTGTGAAGGTGAGGGGTCAGTGTGGGGGGGGCGCCCACGCCAAGGGGCCTCAGGACCCATTGGAGCCATGTGTAGAGAGCAGGGCAGCCTAGGCAGGATGCGGGGAGCTCCCTGCTGTGCGGGGAGGGTCTGCCCTGTGCCACGCCCTGGTCTCGCCAGTGAAAACTTGGTAGACCAGCAGATCACATGTCCCTTTTAGCTGCAGTTGGAATGATGGCAGAGCCATTTATCCCAGTTTCAGTAGTGTTTATTCTTCTTTGCAAACATATTAGTAGGTGTCTGTTCTTCCTCCAAGGAGCCCTGGTGGCACAGTGGCTGAGTGCTAGCTACTAATCAAAAGGTAGGCAATGTAGGAGCTCTGGTAGCATAGTGCCTAAGGCACTTGACTGCTAACCAGGAGGCTGGCGGTTCAAACCCACCAGCCACTCCTCGGAAGGAAGGTTGGGCAATCCTACTTCCATAGTGATACTGCCTCGGAAACCCAAGGCGGGGTCACTATGAGTCGGGGCCGACTCGATGGCAAATAACAACAACAACAACACAGATGCTAAGTGGGAGAAAGATGAGGCAGTGTGCTTCCATAAAGATGAAAGCTTTGAAAACCCTCTGGGACAGTTCCACTCTGTCCTCTAGGGGTGCTGTGGGTCAGAATCGATTCCACGGCAGTGGGTGTGATTTGGGTTTTGCTTCTGTGAAGACTGACAGCCTTGGAGACCCTGTGGGCAGTTCCACTCTGCCCTCTAGGGGCGCTGTGGGTCAGAATGGACTCCACAGCAGTGGGTGTAGTTTGGGCTTTGCTTCTGGGAAGACTGACAGCCTTGGAGACCCTGTGGGCAGTTCCACTCTGTCCTCTAGGGGCGCTGTGGCTCAGAATCAACTCCAGGCAGTGGGTGTGGTTTGGGCTTTGCTTCTGTGAAGACTCACAGCCTTGGAGACCCTGTGGGCAGTTCCACTCTATCCTCTAGGGGCGCTGTGGGTCAGAATGGACTCCAGGCAGTGGGTGTGGTTTGGGCTTTGCTTCTGTGAAGATTGACAGCCTTGGAGACCCTGTGGGGCATTTTCCCTCTGCCCTTTAGGGTCACTGCAAGTGGGCGTTTGCTTTAGTTTGATTCTTCCTCCACATAAGCTCATCCCAAACGCCACACAGGCTAAAACAGAAGCACCCCCGAGTCTACCACAAACACAATAGGAGAGTAGAGAAGTGCTAGGCCATGCTCTGCCTGCTTTATGAGCAGGATCATGACTTGAAGGGAGAGCCTTGAGACCCTGTCATGAGGCCTAAGACACCCTGTCATGAGCAACTCAACGCTGCCCCAGCCCTGGCTGGGGAGGGTGACCCAGCTCACAGCTCCGCGTGGACACAACAGAGCATGCACAGGCCAACAGAAAGGAAGCTGCAACCCTGACCAGGGGGCGCGATGGACCGCTCTGCTGGCGTGTGTGTGGGTCTTTGGATTTAGTTCATTGGCGCAATGGACCGCCCTGCTCGTGCGTGTGTAGGTCTTTGGACTTATGTCTCTGTCTGTTTGGAGTCCCTAGGTGAAGCGCACAGTTTAAGTGCTCAGCCACTAATTGAAACCCGCTGGTGCCTCAGAAGAGAGGCCTGGTGATCTGTGTCTGAAATGCAGTCACTGAAAACTCTGTGGGGGACGGTGCTACCCCGACACACACGGGGTCACCATGAGCTGGCGTCCACTTGATGGCCTATGGCAATTTCTTTATACTGGATTACGGAACATTCCAAACGCACACATGTACAGAGACCAGCAGACAAACTCCCGCACTCCCCCGGCTGCAGCGGGAAGAGGGAGCAGGGCCCACAGCAGACCCAGGGTGGGTGCGGGACCTACCGCTCGCTGACGGCCGTGACGTCCAGGACGTTGGAAAAGAGGAGGTGGGCCTCCGCCGGGTGCAGAATCTTCTTCAGCCGTTCGCTCTCCACGAAGTGAGACACCAGCAGGTTCAGGCTCTTGTAGTAGGAGGCCTCGGAGGTGACCAGCTCGAACATGGCCTGCGGGGGACCGGCACCAAGTGGGTGAAAACCAAGAAGCCGAAGAGACAACGCCCCACAGGACTGCACTGGTTCAGACCTCCAAGTACACCCAAGCCCCAGGGGTAAACGAGAGTACAATGGCAAGGAGTTTCCAGAAGCTTCTGTCATAGATAGCAAGGAACTCCGTCCCTGCTACTGCTTTTCTTATTTACATTTAGAAGGATGTGGCCAGTCCATCTCCAGGCAAATGTAACCACAGAAGCTAAATGGATGAACATCCTAGACACTGAGGGAAAAATCATCCTACAGAAACATGCCTCACTGAGGAAAGGCCTGTAACCCTACATCCCCGAGTGCCCACTGTCACCTATCCTGGGATCGTCTCTGCACACACAGCGTCATTGTGTGGCCGACCCTCCAGACCCCTCCTGGCCCCTCTCGCTGCCCTCCCAGAGGCTGAGGGGCCAGAGGCAGCTGGACAGAGGCAGGGCAGCTTTGTTGGCTGCTGGCAGCCCAGGCCCCATGGCCTGAGTCACTGCTAACTGACACCAGTTGAGCCCAGCTCCCAGCACGCACCCCTCCCTCCCGGTCCATGTACAGGGGATTAGTCATGTGTGGAAGGAGCCCGGGTAGCACAGGGGTTAAGTGTTCATCTGCTAACTGAAGGGCCAGTGGTTCGAGCCCACCAGCTGCTGTGTGGCAGAATGACATGGCGGTCTGCTTCCGGAGAGTACAGCCCTGCAATCCTGTGGGGTAGTTCTACCATGCCCTCCAGGGTTGCCGGGAGTCAGCGTCCACTGGATGCCACCGGCTTGGTCTTGGGCTGGTCCTCGTGGGTTCAGTTCTCCCTGGTGGGCATCTTCACTTATTTGCCCAGTGACCTGCACATCAATAGGGCGGCTGTCTTTTCCTGATCAGTACTTTTCACCTGAAGCCAGTCAGGCCTCTGTGTGGCAGTGTGGTTGATGCAGGGTCCCAGACCCCGTTCTCCTGTCCGTTCAGTCATTCCACAAAGGTTCACTGAGCACCTGCTAAGAGCCAGGCCCTGGTCCCAAAACAGCAGGTGCGGTGGAAACGCTGGCCCTGAGCAGCCATGCTCAGGGAGTGGGGAGACCAGGGTCAAGGCAATCCCTAAGGCAGAGGGTGGAGACTCTGCAGGGCAGGTGGCAGGAGTGGGGGGTGGGCAGGGAGTACAGTGAGTGAGTGAACGTCTATGTATGAGTGTGAGCACGTGTGCACGGGTGTGTATGAGCACGTGTGAACGTAGACACATGAGCGTGGATGAGTGTGCACGTGTGAATGTGTGCGTGAGCATAAGCATGTGTGTGTGGTGCTTACTGCAGAGCCCCCCTTTCTACCACGCACCACGGCCACCGTGGTTCCGGCCACTGCCCGCTCCCACACAGGCCCGCTGTCCTCAGGAGACACGGTTTACACTGACTCGGATTGTATGAATCACAGCTTGGTCTCTTAGCTCTGGACTGTTCCATGTGAGAGCTGCCAATAACCATGTCGCCTTCTGGTTTTTTCCAGCCTGTTCCCACACTGGATTCTGTGAGCAGGGAAAATCCATCCAAGGCTGGGTGTTCTTCCTCAGGGGCTGGTCCCTGTGGTTTCGAAGTTGTCCAGGCCTGTGATGTCCTGGTGTCCAGAGAGACAGGGCCTGCAGCCTTGGGAGCCGGCCAGGGGCTAACTGAACCCCAGTGAGCCTCAGTTTCCTCCTAAGAACATGAACCAGCCTTCACTTTTCCTTCCTGGCTCCCTTGGGCTGGGCTGTCCAACGTTCTGTGTCCTTTCCCGGGTAGCTGCCCAAGCAGCCCTGGGCCATTCCAGTCTCCAAGTGTTTGCTGGGTGCTGGGAATTCCAGGACGACCCCTGCCCACAGGGTCACCAGCCCAGGGGGTCGGGGCCCAGGGCCACCAGGCTTCACCTCCAGCCCTCCCTGACTCCCTGGTTCCACAGCACATGCCAAGAGCGTGCCGCTGGGGACACAGGGAACAGAAACACCACCGCTGAGGACACAGCCCAGTACAACTCAGAGGTGACGGCATGGGGTGGGTGGGAAGAGGAGGAAGAGGCAGGGGGTGAGGGCGCTTCGGGAGGGGCTGAGCCAAAGAACGGCCCTGAGCTCGCCGAGTAAAAAGGAAAAGAAAAGCAGCGTTTCTCAGAGCGCCCCCCCCCTTGCGTTGGGTTTTTGAATTGCGGTTTCCCGGGCCCTTGGGCCCCCCACTAAGATCCCCCAGTGACTCTGAGTCGCCTGCTGCCCGGGGCTGAGGCCCCCACACTTACCCTGCTCCAGCACTCGTCACCCTGTGACCTAAGCATTAGGGTGTGTGTCCAGGACATTATGAATTTTTCTCCAGATGACCTGACTAACATGGTAATTTACAAAAGGATATCCACAAATAGGTATAAACTAGACAGAGCTGGGCTGGAGATGGCGCGCGGCCTCACTCACAGGGACAGGAATGCAGACAAACCTACCAGGAGCTACACTCTGCTTCCAAGAAAGCACCCGGGTAAGAAGAGGACCCAGCCTAGGTCTAGCAGGCTGTCCACCTGTCTGTCTGCCAGGCTGCCCACCTGTCTGTCTGCCGGGCTGCCCACCTGTCTGTCTGCC